ATAAATATTTGTTTCACGAGAACTCCACCTGGGGCTTCGGCCCTGCACGCCACCCAAAAAGGTTCCCCAATTTCGCATCTGAAACGGCCAAGATGCACGTTGCCCAGATCGACTCGAAGACGGCCAAGATGGCCCAAGATGGCCATCAAGACGCCTCCAAGACTGCCAAGACGGCCCCAAGAGACCCCCCTGTTGCACTCAAGACGGCCCAAGATGCACCCAAGACGGCCCAAAATGGTTTCAAGGTGGTCCAAGGCGGCCCAAGATGCTCCCAAGAGGCTCCCAAGTAAGAGGGCCTTCACAAGGCCCGAAGAAACCAAATCATTGATTCTCCTTCGGTGTTCGGCCTTCCGACGGCCCAAAATGGCCCAAGAGGCCCGAATACCGCCCCAAGACCGCCCAAGAAGCCTCTCAGAGGGCCCCGAGACGGCCCGAGAGGCCTCCAAGACGCCCAAGATAGCCTCCAAGACGGCCCTGGAGCACTCCAAGAGGGCCCCAAGTCGGCCCTGAGAGGCCCCCAAGACGGCTTCAGACGGCGTCAGACACGCCCTCATACAAGCAAAAGAAGCCCCCAAGAATATCCCAAGGCCCCCCAAGAGGCCCAAGGAGGCCCCCAAGATGCCTCCAAGAAGCTCCCAGGAAGTTCCCAGGAGGCCCAAAGATAGCCCCCGGAAACTCCCAAAATGCGCTCTCCTCCTCCTCCTCCTCCTTCTCCTCCTCCCGATCTTTCCCGCCATCCATTTTTCCCAACCATCATGTGGTGTTGGGTCCTCGTTTTGAAGAGACGGTCCCCACGTTCCTCCTTCCTGCCTCCTCCCCCTCCCCCCTCCTCCTTCCACCCTGCGATTCACCCACCCAGTACAACGTTTTGTGGCCCCATAGGGAGCTCCACCGAAGGCCCCAGTGGCAGGGTTCGCATGGCGGCCTCGGGCCATTTCGGCACACCCATCACAAGGATCGTGGCCCCATAGGAGCTCTACCGAGGGTGCCAATGGCAGAGTTTTCATGGCGTCCCCGCTTCATGTCGGCGCACCCCTCACGGGGACCGTGGCCTCATAGGGAGCTCCACAGAAGGCGCCAGTGGCAGGGTTCGCATGGCGGCCTCGGGCCATTTCGGCACACCCCTCACAAGGATCGTGGCCCCATACTTCACCGCAGGCGCCAGTGGCAGGGTTTGCATGGCGGCCTCGGGCCATTTCGGCACACCCCTCACGAGGATCGTGGCCCCATAGGGAGCTCCACAGAAGGCGCCAGTGGCAGGGTTCGCATGGCGGCCTCGGGCCATTTCGGCACACCCCTCACGAGGATCGTGGCCACATAGGGCTCCATCGAAGGCCCCAATGGCAGTCTTCGCATGGCGGCCCCACCCCACGTCGGCGCACCCCTCACGAGGATCGTGGCCCCGTAGGGAGCTCCACAGAAGGCGCCAGTGGCAGGGTTCGCATGGCGGCCTCGGGCCATTTCGGCACACCCCTCACAAGGATCGTGGCCCCATACTTCACCGCAGGCGCCAGTGGCAAGGTTTGCATGGCGGCCTCGGGCCATTCCGTCACACCCCTCACGAGGATCGTTGCCCCATAGGGAACTCTATCGAATACCCCAGTGGCAGGGTTCGCATGGCGGCCCCGCCCCATTTCGGCACACCCCTCACGAGGATCGTGGCCACATAGGGCTCCATCGAAGGCCCCAATGGCAGTCTTCGCATGGCGGCCCCGCCCCATGTCGGCACACCCATCACAAGGATCGTGGCCCCAGAGGGAGCTCCACCGAAGACCCCACTGGCAAGGTTCGCATGGTGGCCCCGCCCCATTTCGGCACACCCATCACGAGGATCGTGGCCCCGTGGGGAGCTCCACCGAGGGTGCCAATGGCAGGGTTTTCATGGCGTCCCCGCTCCGCCAGCGACAGGGTTCGCATGGCGGCCCCGCCCCATTTCGGCACACCTCTCACACGGTTCGTGGCCTGATTGGGAGCTCCACCGACGGCCTCACAGAACGATGGATTCAGAATGCGGTATCCACAACTTCTTCTACTTGGGTCCTTCGTCAGGCTAATTCATTATGTTGAAGTTTAAATAAGCGGCAACTATGATTAGCTGTAGTTCCTCAGCGGGTGCCGGTGCCACGGCACGCGCGGGCTGAAGGTGCGCTCCCAATCGCTGGCTCTGGAATGCGCGGCGTCCGCCATGAGGCCCTGCACCGCCCAACTCTGACACGCTGAGCGAAGACTCCACGACGGCAGGTGGCAGCCTGTTGTATACATAAGCCAACCCGAGCATAGAATTTGCGATGTAATCAGCAGGACGCGAGTTGGGCAGCACAAAATCGGTCCTATGTCCGTTGGAATACTCGAAGGGTTCACACAGCGGCCGGGGGTACACATGGTCACATAGTTTGACAAAACTCTTGTCACAACGCTCGGCCAGCCACATGGGCGATTCCAAAAGGCAGGGGGCGGCGGT